GTTCCAGTTTCTCCACAACCTCGCCAGCATTTGTTGCTTGCTGTTCTGTTAAATTTTGCTATTTTGACTGGGGTGAAATGATATCTCATAGTTGTTTATCTATGTTTTTAAAACTAAACTAAAACTAGCAAAACTCCCATGCAATTGAGACAATTCTGACTCACAGAGACCCTCCAGAACAGTGTAGAACTGCCCACATAGGATTTCCTAAGCAGTAAATCTTTACAAATTATTACATATTTTATTGTGGGACAGCTAGTGAGTTTGAACTCTGTTAGCATCTTAAATGTTTAACCACTGCAAAGTCCAGGGTTCCTCTAGCAGATAAACACCCATATCTAAAACTGTTGCATTGATTTGACTCATGTTAACAATCCTCTATTGGATTTCTGAGGCTATCAAACTTTAGAGGAGTCTCTCCCTCAGAGTGATGGATTTGAATCATTGGCCTTAGAATTAGTAATTCAACACATTATGCACAACACACTCAGAGCTCTTAAGGTTTAAATTGTTGTTGTCATCAGGTATCATCAAGTATGGCTCGTAGTGACCCCATGAAAAATGAATCAGAACCTTGCCCTATCCTGTGCCAGCATTATCATCTCTGATATAACTGAGCCCATTGTTATAGTCACTTTGTCAAACTATCACATTGAGTGCTATCTCTTTATTCACCCTCTACATTTCCCAGCATGATGTCTTTTTCAAAGGTGCCTCTGACAACATGTCCAAAGTGTGTGAGGTGGAGTTTCACCACCCTTTTCCCTAAGGAGCAGCCTGGTTGCCCTTGCTTCCAGACATATTTGTTTGTTCTTTTGGCAGTCCATGGTATAGTCAATATTCTTCTCCAACACCACCATTTAAAGGTGTTAATTCTTCTTTGGCCTAGTCTTTATAAATTCTTTAGTTTCAGGTTAAACGTCTCTTTCTTAGGAAAAATAGTTTTCCACTTTAGTCCTCTCTCTCTTTGGTAATACTGCTATTATGGTTCCTTGAGTTGGAACTAACTCATAGCCGAACTTTCAGTGGGTTTTCAGAGGCAGTAAAACACACAGGATATTTCCTATCTTTCTCCTGTGGAGCACCAGGTGGATTTGAATGGCCTGGCTTTGGGATGACAATTCCTTTTCACACTAGGCTGCCAAAGCTCCTTCCTTCCTAAAAGGTTCAGAGAAAAGGGCATGAGTCTGGAGTCATGAGTTTGGAGTACTCAAATTAACCACCCATGGCTTACATGTGAAGCAATAAGCTAGTCTATTTTCACCTGAATGCAGGTGGGCTTGAGCACTCAAATGATAAGTCAACAGCTCTTGCTATTGTAGGGTGTTTATAAACAGATTTTTTTTTAGATTTTAATGAAAGTTTATAAAGAACTTGGATTTCCATTTATTTATTTTTTCACATTTTCTTCCCTGTCTCCCCTCCCCCCGAGTTAACTTTTTTCTTTGGGGAAAAAAAGTTCTTTCATTGTTATACGGTCCCTGACCCTGACCACTTTACCATGCAGCTCTTATTCTGGACTCTTGTCATGCCAATAAT